GCATATCTACATGTGAAAAAGATGTACATATACATAAATAAATGAATACATATATGGATATATATGACATATATATATATTCATTTATTTTTGTGTATGTATATCTTTTTCACATGTATATATGCATATATATATCACATATATATCTGTAATATATATCTATATGTATTTATGTAATTAAGCATATTTGCCACATCTATCTATCTATCTAAGTGTGTGTGTGTGTGTGTATGAATGTATGTGTGTTAGAGAGAGGGGTTGTCCGCGCCAGTGTCAGTAGCTGAGCAATTGAGGCGGACAAGTGTGCTGGCTGTGGTTGAGGAAATGATTCCACCAAGGCGGAGGCATTATCCTTTCAGGCAGCAGCAGCACAAATATGCGGCTGAAAACACTTGCAACGTGAATAAACATACAGCCCATATGACAGCTGTCTCGGCAGAGCCATCCTCGGACGAGGATAGACGAAGAGTGGCCATATCAAGCGACCGATAGACTTTGCGCTTAATGGACACATATTTGTGGGAGAATAGACCCAACACAGCCAAAAAGGATTCACAAAGTGTACAGGCAGGCTGGAAGCCAGGCTTTTAGTGCGATTGGTTTTGCTTGTTTGACTGAGCGGTTGGTGGATTCAGACAAATAGAGCTCCAGGGCATCCGTTTCCGCGGCGTACGTTGTCTTGGGGACAGTTTGTGCAAAGAATGACGCCTTGAAGGCACATGCAACGAGACATCAAACCCTCTTCATGTACAGGACTTTTCGACGATTCGACGATGATTATCTGCCGTCATCTGGTTCGGCTAAACCCTTCTGTCGCAAGAAGAGGGAGAGTCTGGAATAGCACCCTCGCTGCCATTAATTTTGGTGGAGATACATAAAATTAACCAGACGTTATAAATAGACGAATGTATTTGTTGGGTTCATCTCTATTTCCATTCAAAGTGTCTATGATAAAGTCGTTTCCACCGTAACGAGATGGCGAACACGATTTGATCAACTTCCTCTTGGCTTTACAGCAACTTATTTTCGTATTAGAGTAGAGTTTCGAGACTACCAGTAAATCAGTAATATGAGATGTATTCACCCTATTTCGTCTAAGCTGATGAAGGACTGGTAGTAGAATTTTCACACAATGATATAATTTGAGCTGACATTTTCCACTGGATTTCACATAGCCTTGCTTTCTGAAAAGTTTTAGGAAAGCAAGGCTATGTGAAATCCAATGGAAAACGTCAGCTCAACTCATATCATTGTGGGAATATTTTACAGCAACTGCCTGGTTGAAGCTGTACCTGAGGCAATCACCTTCGATTCCGGTAGAAAAAAAATTGTGTGAATCTTCTTGTGATTTGACTTTTCGTTGCAAATACATTGTTGGCTATCCTCCTGCTATCCAGACGAGCCCGTGCTAAGCCTTCGTCTGTTTCGCCATGACACACTTCGTCAGTTCGAGGCACCATCATTCGCGAAAAAACACACAAATTACAATGAGCAAAAAGTTAAGGGGGCCAGTTGTCATATTTCATTTGGTATGCCGTTTTTGTCAATAATGCTTTCTTGCTTCAACAATGTTTTTCACTTCAGTGCAAACAAAAGCTTAGCATGGATTCGTCGGTGCTACGGAACGGTGGGATGACTTGTTCTCACCATCCAACAGTTCATGACATGGTAACCAATCCATCTTCAGTTTCCAGTGAGATCGAGTCATAAAGTCCTTCCAACACAATTTTGCTTAAAAATGAAAATTCTGGCCACAATCACTCACTAAAACGTTTTTCCAAATTCACCGTTTCGTCTTTCTCGCTAACCGATAGGTTTCAGAACCAATTAATATTTTATTGTAGGAGTTGTATTCCCTCTATTTCGTTTAAGGTGATAAGACGATTGTTAGTTGAATTTTCCCATATTCGTATGATTATACTATAGGTTTTTTTTACATTTCACATAGACTTGCTTCCTCGAATGGCATTCTCCTCCAGCTGTAGTGGACTGCAATTTCATCTTCGGCCCAACTGGTCTGATTCGCTCCAATAGCGGGATTCGAACTCGGGTCGTGGTAGTGCCGCGTATAAT